GATTTGAATAGTGCTTACAGGAAGTTAGCTCATACAAGATTCAAACTTCATGAATGCAAATTTCCAAGAAATTAATGGATATAATGATAGTCATTTTATAAATCATCTAGGTCACTGGGAGTATTGACTATAATATTATAAATTATTCAGGAGTGATCCTGATTGCACATGGTTTGTGGCAATGTGCAATCGTGATAATATGCAGTTTGTCTAAAGTATGAATAACTTTCCACATAAAGAAGGCCAGATGATCCTTCTAGTGTTGGATATATGTGGAAAAGTTCCAGGACTGATAAAGAAATGGCCTTGTGCTTGTCTTAAATATTTCAGAATAAATTAAAAGACAGAGAGAGAACAATGATTCTTGGGTTTATTAGCTAGTGTTTTGAATTGTAAACAACAGATTCCTCTGTTGTTAATTTAAGCAGAAAGGAAATTTATTGTATAATAGTGTGTAGTTCACAGATTCTTTGGGAGACTCAGGATATAGACTTAGAAGACATGACACTACTGATTTTATGTCATTATGACTTTTGCTCCAGCAAAAAGCCTCCCTGCCACTAATTCTGGACACAGACACCATAACTTCCACTGCTGAGTCCAGACACTGGATGCCAGAATTTTTCCCACTGCTGCTCCCAGATGCTGGGAAGACGCCTCTGTGCTGACCATCAGAGGCATTTCAGGTGGTTATGAACCTGTCACTATACAAGAGTATATAAAGAGTCACTATACAAAGTATATAAAGAGTCACTATACAAGAAAGAATAAGGTGTTAAACTCTAAATAATTCTGCATGTAAGGGGTAGGAATTCTATGCTATAATATTATTTTCAGTTATGGGCTTTGCAAGGGTATAGTCCTCATGAACATCAAAGGTTTTCTGTATTATACAACATACATGAACAGTTTACAAAAAAAATACAAGAATTGTCACCAGATTAATGGTACTTAGAAGGGATTTAGCTGAAACTTGAAAGTTTATTATTTGAAGTAAAACAGATAATACAGTAGTCTGATTGGAATATCCTTAAGTATCACTACCAGAAGTTCCGAAAAATGTATTTGAAACAGTTATGTGCTAGGCACCATGGCACATGCTTGTAATCCCAGGGGCTGGGGGGTCTGAGCAAGAGGATCACAAGTTTTAAGGCACCCTCAGCAATTTAATGAGGCTCTAAGCAACTTAGTGAGACCCTAAATAAAATTTAAAAAGGCGGGAATGGGCTCAATGATTAAGCTTCTCTGGGTTCAATTTCCAGTACCTCCCTCCTCTAAAAAAATGCCTAATCAAGTAAGATACCAATTTTTATTTTATTTTTTTATATTTTTGAGCTTGATACAATAAGGAAGGTAGTTCTCCAGCTAGGGATACCAAAGAGGTCACAGGTTAACATCAAAGAATGAAAAAAATGTATATTTAATATATATATATATTTATATAATTCATCAAATAATGAAAAATACATATATTTAATATATATATATATACTTTACATATTTTCATTCTTTGGTGTTAACCTATTATATATATGACAAATTATATACATCCTTCCTGAGTGAACTAAGCTACATTACTTAGACAAAAGAACTGGCTTTTATTTCTTTTGAGCCCCTTCTGATTAGAACTGCTTCACAACTCTCTTGTCCATGGGTTCTAGTAGGAAGAGCTAGTTAAATAGAAAGAGTAATAGAAAATTTGGTAGCAACAATGCTATTGATTTCTTAAATTATTTGAAGCTCAATGAAATTCTACTGTTTAGAAAAGATGCTTTAATAATGTTCCTTTCAGCTGAATATTGCAAGATCTAAACTTTTCTACTGCAGAACTTTTCAGAAATTATACTAAAATTGAGGGAATATGCTATTATAATACTTTTTATTTCCCAATATTTGCCCTATAGAAATAAGTGTTGGTCACATATATGAAGTGTAGTTTTGTGGTTAAGCAAATTTTTGATTATTATTATGATTATTGTGGAGAAAGTATAATTACACTTAATTAAAAAAAATACTACTCTGCATTTTACCAACAGGGTAAATTTCACTGAAGCAACAACAAATTGTCCTAAAGATAAGTTCCAAACTACCACCAACTTTCTATTTAGGGAGAGAAGAACGTAATCCAGTGTTAAGCCTCTGTCTCTTTAAAACAAAATGTGAGGTGGTGAGCTACGTGGCACTTTTGATTATATATTGAAACCACACTAAGTCCCTGAAATCCAAGGGAATATTGGGCTCTGGTCCTTTGTGCAGAATGCTCACATGAATGCTTACAGGAACCAATCCAGAAGCAAATTGCTGCTGATAGTAACTGACAGCATGAATTACTGCACTCTAAGAGACGCTGCCAGGATCAACCAGTGTGATCTCACTTTTGCTCATATGGCAAGCTGAATTTGTGCGTGAACTAGAACAAGCTTCCCAAGTTCAGGGAATGGCAAGGTCTCAGAAATTGTTTGAAAATAGCCAACATCTTTGAAATGAATCACTGGCATCTCAGCTCATACTTATAAAACTAGGTTTTCTTTGATTAGTTTTTGATCCTAAGCATGTAAAGTCTTCTGCTAATGCAAAAGGAGAAACTGACTCATCAGCTCTTTGTCATATGAAACCAGAAACTCAGTGAATGCTTAGGATAGCATCAGTTTCTCCTCAGCAAGCTGACTTCCTTCTGGGCCCATCACTTGTTATGGTCTATTTGAAGACTTTCTGCTGCTGGTAATTGCATGATGATTCACAGTGACTTTCAGAAATCTTCCTTTAATTTGGAATAAACAAAAATATCAATGGAAGAACCATTTTCTTCATTAGAAATGCTCAATTTAGTTAAAATATATATGATGGAAGATGCTTTAAATATAAGTTTAATATTTGTGCATACCAATATAGCCAAGATTGCTAAGATATAACTCAAATATGAGAGGAGCTCACCTCAAATATATATGCCTGGAAAGAAAAATAGGAACTGGAAACATTTGTCCAAAGGATGAAATCATAGATCCAATATCTACAACCAAAGATCAGTTTTGAGATTTCTTCCATTATTTCAATCCATTTGAAAATTTACCTAAATAGTACCAAAATTACAGAAGAAAACTCTGCATAATTTAATGCCTTTACCTATCACTAGCAATGGGAAAATACAGACCTTGTGAGATCTTCAAGTATTCTTGGCAGGTAAACAGTTTTCCGGATCATTTTTAAAAAAAATGTTTTAAATTTATTTTTTTATTTTTACACAAATGGAGTACAGCTTTTGATTTCTCTGGTTGTACATGATGTAGAGTTGCAGCATTCATGCAATCACACCCATAATAATGTCCATCTAATTTCACTATCTTCTCTGCACCCACAATCCTTCCCCACCCCACATTCCCCTTTGCCCAATCCAAAGTTTCTCCATTCTTCCCTTGCCCCTCCCCATTATGAAGCAGCATCCACTTATCAGAGAAAACATTCAGCCTTTGTTTTTTGGGGGGGGATTTCCATACTTTGCTTAGCATGAAATTCTCCAGCTCCATCCATTTACCTGCAAATGCCATAATTTCATTCTTCTTTAAGGCTGAGTAATATTCCATTGTGTATATATACCACAGTTTCTTTATCTGTTCATCTGTTGAAGGGGCATCTTGGTTGGTTCCACAGTTTAGCTACTGTGAATTGAGTTGATAACAGCTGAGGGGGCTGCATCACTGTAGTATGCAGATTTTAACTCATTCTGGGTCATTTTTTAAGGCATTCATTTTTAATTCTTACATCTACATATGTTTTCTGTTAAAAGAACAAAATATTTAACACAATTGATATTCATTTCTTTTAAAATTTATTTTAGAGAGTTCTTACTTCTCCTGAAGCAATGGTCCCTTTTAAAAAGGGTACCTATTAACACAGAGGGGAGGGAGCTTCTTCCTCCAGTCTGAGTTTTGCTTTCTCTAGAAGGCACAATGGACTTCAGCCCTTTCAGGCATTTTTTTTTTCTAGTTTGCACTGCTCTAACGGTAGCCATGAGAAAACAAGGAAAGATGGACAAGCTTTGTTTGCCAGGGGGAGCCTGGGCTGATCAAGGACAATCTGAAGAGAAGGTTTTCAGATGGGAGAGCCCTCCCTGTCCAGGAAATGTCAGCGCTGGACATAGATAATCACCGAGTGGTAACATAGGGTAACTCCATGTGGTCACAGGTACACAGAGGAACAAGCAGTACCTCTCATGTTGGATGTTCCACAAGCCTGTTCTATTCATCGGATCTAAAACTCAACTGATTACTTCCTGAACCTCCTCCTGTGTTTGTGATCTTAATAAAAACTCCACCTTCCATCCTGGAAGGAAAACAGAGAAACCTGGGGTTCCCTCTTGACTCTATTATGTCCCTTGTGGCTCTATCCTGTAGAAATTAAGCACCAATTAAAGTTTAACTTAATCTCTCTCAAATTCTGTTCCATGTTGTTCATTTTCATACTAAGTTTACATGTCATCTCCTTTACAAATAAGCCTTCTAACTTACCAGTATTATTTGCTCTAGTCTGATCTTCCTTTCCTTCCCTTCCCTTCCTTCCTTCCTTCCTTCCTTCCTTCCTTCCTTCCTTCCTTCCTTCCTTCCTTCCTTCCTTCCTCCCTCCCTCCCGAGTTGAACTCCCAGGGCACTGTACCAGTGAACTATACCCCCAACCCCTTTTTATTTTGAGCAGGGTCATACTAGGTTGCCAGGGCTGACCTCTCTTGCCTCAGCCTCTCGAGTTGCTAGGATTACAGGCATGCACAACTATGATGAGTTTGAGCTCTATATTTTCTAAAATACACATCTGATAATCCATGCTTTTGCTTAAAAGACTCCCCATTGCCTTCAAGGAAAAAAACAAAACAAAACTAAGCTCCCTTGAAGGGAATATTGACCTTTCAATCCCTCTTACCTGCCTCTCCATAGGCTCTATTTTGGATGCCCTCACCTTCCCCCTTTTCTATCAGATAATTCCTACTTGTCTTTCACATTTTGATCTAGTTATTATCTTCTCCTGGAAGGCTTCCCCTGACCCTACTTCTGGCCTCATCACAAAATGTTCCTGAAGGATCTCATTGTGATCAATGTGCTAGTACATCGTGCTCCTTGAAGGTAAGTTAAGTGTTTTTATTTTCCTAATGCATCAGCCAGCACAGTGCTTGGCACATTGTAAGTAAATGAATACCTGCATTTAGGGAATTAATCAGAGAAAGCCACACAGAGAAGGTGGAGTTGAGCTGACTCACACTCGAGGGAGTGATCGGCAAGATAGAGAAGGGTATTTAAGGCAGAAAGAATAACACAACACATATGGAAGCATGAGAGGGTTTGCCTTGTTCAGAGAACTACAGGTGGCTTAGAAGTGTGACATCACAAAGGGTACGGTACAGGATTCTGTGGCAAGCTGTGTTCAGGAGTTCCATATTAGAATCTGCAACTAGTTTCTCTCAAAGACTAGAAAAGCTTCTGGAGGCTGTAGGTGTACTTAAGAATGAAGAAATGTCCAAACATAATTTCACAACGTGTGATATTCTCTTATACTTACAGATTAGCTCCTGACACAAAATTTACAATGCAGTATAATTTGTTAATTATGAAAAATTATACAAGAATATTTGTTCATAGTGGACCATAAGACTTGCAGTCAGGCAGAGGGGTGAACATTTGAAGATGTGAGATGAATGTCTTTTTAAAATATCATCAGCATATTCCAGGGCCACGTGTAGAATCTCCTTGAAAGTAACATCAGGTTTAGCATTAAGAGTGGGAAAGGGATCAGGAGCATGGGAGGAATAGATGAACTCTAGATAGGGCAGATGGATTGGAAGGGAAGGGAGAGGGTGTGGGGTAATTAATGATGGTGGAATGTACTGATCATTATTATCTAAAGTACAGGAATAAAGACACAAATTGGTGTGAATATGCCATGTATACAACCAGAGATATGAAAAATTGTGCTGTATATATGTAATAAGAATTGTGATGCATTCTGCTGTCATATATAAATTTTAAAAAAAGAAAAAAAAAGAATATGAGCTAGGAACCAAATGACTCTTCATACTCTCATCTCCTTGTTTTCTTCTCACAGGTCCCATTTGTGAAATCCTTCCGGAGGGATGTTGTGCTGAGGTACTTACTCCCATGAGCTTTTTTTTTCTTTCCTTTTCTTATTTTCATTTTTTCCTTTTAACTGCTTGAAAATGTCTTTTAACTTCAAAGAAATTCAATATAAAAATGAGAAAAGGGAAAACTTGAAAATGGAATAGAAAGGGAATGATGCTTTGAAAAGTTAGAAAAATAATTAAATGAAATATGATATGTCAAGAGTTTTGTAATGTTTTGAATAACCAATAAAAAAAAGAAAAACAATTAAAATTGGTAAAGAATGCTTAAGAAGTAAAGAAAACCACATGTACAATTTTAGGTAAAAATAGGTCATTAGTGTAATGGAAATAATTAACTAAATTGTCTAAGTGTGATTTTTTTTATTTTCCATGCAAACAGAAGATTCAGGAACAAGTAAGCTTGGAGCAAGTTAGTGAGCAAACAGACTTCCTGACCTTGCCAGAAGGTTCAATTATTTTTTTTTCTCCAGTCTGTTGGAAAAGTTCAAACTGCATTTAGAACCAAGCCCCAAAGAAATTCATCAATTTATTCAAGATAATTTTTCTATATACTGGTTCATAATACAAAGTTATTATTGAATACTTTTTTTAAAAAAAAACATATTCCACACATTTTCTCTTTTTTTCCACCAGATAAGAAGGCATGGGTGTTTCTGATAATATTCACAACAGAAAATTTACTTATATTTATAAAATAATTAATCTGCTATTTCTCTATTCCCTGATAGAGTCCTTTGAAATCCTCATTTGAATAAAAATTTTTATATTATTTTAGTTCCTTATTCGATTTTGTTAGAAGAATACAAAATTTATGTATCAGGATTTTTCTCCCCCTAGAGTCAGTGCAAAAACTTTCCTTCCCAGGGTGTGGCCAGGTCCTGGTGAGTTTCCAGAGCCTGTGCATCAAGGCCTGCCTTTGTCCTTGCTCCTTCTCGGCCTCCTTCCTGGGGCTGCAGTCACTTTCTGATGTGGACTTGGAATACAGGGTGGCCAAAGGTCTCGAAGAGCCACAATTAAGTGTCCAAGGAGGCTAGCAAGACTTACAAACACTGTTTGCCACTTTTTTTTCTCTTCGCCACATAACTGTGACTCAGGTCTTTGTTTTTGAGAAAAACAAAACTGAAGTGCAGGTAGATGGTTCATCATAGTCAGTGATTCAGCGGTAGAAATCAATTTAGGAAGAACACGACTTCCTTAACTCTTTCACCTGTGTTTTTATTTTTCCCAATATTTGGTTTATGGTTATCTGTTCATTAGGGGAACAAGAGTAAATGTCATTTTAGATGTTATGTGTACTTTATGTACAAATAACTGAAAAATTGGCCAAACTCTTTAATTTTTCATTTGTCATTAGTTGCATAAAATGTGCAGCTATCAAAATAGACATTAGAGGTTATTATAACAGTGATTTTGCTGTTATATAAACGAATTAAGGAACATTAGAAGTGGAAGTTTTATTTGTTACTTTTTAAAGAATTGGAAAGCCTTAGTGGTCAGTGTTTTCAAAACACAGCATTTAAAATTTTTTAATAAAATGAAAGAGGAAGATAGCAAGGGTTATGTTAACTTCTTGTTTATAGGTTTAATGTTTAAATAAAGTTCTCATAATTTAAAAAAAGTCTTTCACATTTAGGAGCCATCTTTAGTGAGGTTCTTAATATTAAAATCTTTGTAAATATCTCTGCTTTCTTGTTCTGATGGCTATTTTCATGTTTTATGCCTTTAAAAACAGCCCTTGGGGTTAGAAGTACCTTTCAGATTTTCTAGTGATGTCTCCTAGTTAGCCTGTTGTGCTTCGAGCACTGTTGAGAAGGCTTCTGGTGATTCTAACTGGAGCCTTTTAGCTGGTGGATTGTAAGGTCTGGAGTAAGATGTGAGTTCCACCTTTAGAACCCACCCAGGAGTTGGAATAAAGAAGGGAGAGGATGAAACATTCTATAGGGAACATGCTTTTACTGTTCCTTAGAATATAACTGCAGGGTGAGTATAAAGGAAAGCATTTAGTCATGGAGCATGATTTGGAAAAGATGGGTTGAATTTTAAAACAAATCTAGGTAAAGTTTATGCTCATCCAAATAATGATAGGTGTCACATTTATCATATAAATTTTGGATATAACATGTGGTATGCAAAGGTTAATGCAGAATTCCAATACAACACAGATTAATTCATTTATTTGTTCCATGATTTATTGAGTATGTTCTACAAGCCAGATGCTATGAAAGACACTGAGGAATTTTTAAGTATATGCAATACTATTGCTGATATAGTCTAATTTAAAAATATGATGTCTGTGTATGTACAATATTAAGTAAAAGCAAGAAAAACTATTTAAATAATTATTCCATAATTTAAATAATGTATTAATCAAAAAAGCTTAGTTGATATTATTTGGCCAGTAGGAAAGAAAGATTTTCAGAAAAAGAGATCCCTTTATAGATATTTGGAATTTGTTTCAGAAACTGAAAATTCTAGACCTATTGTCAATAACAATTTACTTTTAAACTTTACTTTTATTATTATTATTGTTATTGTATCCAGAATAAAGAGCTTCTGGACTAGCATTGATGCATTGAAAATTTGGCTGCCCTCCTGGCTCTGCTTTTCGTGGTTGTGCAACCTTAGGAAGTTACATTTATCCTCTTTTGGCCTTGTTTCTTCATCTGTAAAATGATAGGATTATATTGAAAAATAGTTACGCTCCCTTCCAATTTTAACATTCTCTGATTCTTTAATCTTTTGGATTTGAGGGTAGGATGTAGACACATGGACACGAACATATGTTGAAATATATTATTAAAAATACAAACAACCCAGAATTTTGGATTTAGTTGGAGTTATGAATGAGTTCTGGTTTGCTTATACCACAATACAGACTTCTGTGCTCTACTCAATTTGTATCTTACCAACTCATCTTTTCCAAGGATAAATGCATATGTATGGGTTAGTGAGGCCTTTATGATAAACATAGCATTTAATCACAGAAATTTAGGGCCATCCCAAACCATAGATAATGACACTGTCCTTGGCCAGGGCAGGTGCAGCTCAGATAATATCGCTCAGATTAAGTGCAACTGCATCATAGCACTAGCCTGCAGGCATCCTGCTGACGCAAAGCCTGGGATCCCAACTCCCTTCTGACACTTCCCCTCTTAGTCTTTCCAGAATCCCTCCCTAAGTTGGAAGCACTCTCTTTTTTATGCTCCAATTCCCCTGTGTTCATTCTGGGATTAAAATTTACCGTGTACAACTCTCTCTTGCTGGGTGATGTGTAAGCTTCTTGGGAGAAAGGATTGTGTCTTGTTTATGTTTGTGTTTGCCATAGTGCCTCCCATAGAGTAGGCGTGCAGAAATTTTTGTTCTAGTAGATAGCTCAGTCAGTATCTGAAACTACTGAACTTAAAAATAACTATAAAAGTGTCAGCATATTCCTCCTCAAGTTCCAGTGCAAGGTTAGAGACACCAGAGAAGACTGAAAACTGAGCTTTGTGGTGGCAGAATGGTTTCTCATGGTGGGGGTGGGTGGCAGTAATAAACTGTGGGAATCTAGGCAGTTCACTCAACCTGAAAGCAGATTTTTGCCTGGGATTCTCTGAAGGGACTCCAAATGTCTTTGTGATTACTCAAGGAATGGCATTCTCCTCCATTGGTCAGTGAGCCATTCTCCCACCTGAGGCTGTCCATGTTCTCCCACAGAGCCTGGTTGTGCGTTATGCTATGCCTTGATACCATTCGTGACTTGCTGTCTATATAGGCCTACGTCTTTATGTTGCAAAAAGAGGTGCTAGCCTGAGGAAAGAGTGAGATACCAAAGTAAAAGAAAAAAAATAAAAGATTTACTAGTAACATAGACTCCTGGCCATTTTTGTCGATCTCATTTTCTCAGAATCACTTTTAACTCTATTTTTTTTTCTATAAATCTGGTAATATGTTTATATTGTTATTTCTTGACTAATCTATTTTAAGTATCACCAATGATTTTATGCTCTGTTTATGGTGGATTTAACTTACTGAAACATTACTCAGCTTTTTATTCATTCATATCCCCAGTGTCTGATGTTAATTTTTCTGCTTGCTGTTGTAATTTTTCTGTGTCTGTGATGAGAGTATTCTTTTTAGTGGTCCCTGAACTTAGGTTTATCTCTTGAATGAATATTGTGTAAGCTGGCCATAGTAATTCCTGTATCTTTCCCTCTATCTTGTCTTGTTCTCATCCCACCTTTAATATCCATCAGCTAAACTTTTTCATGTTCATTTATGGTTTTTCTGTAAATATAATTGAACTTTCATAGATTTATTCTAAAGCCAATTCAGAGTTTTCCACCCAAACTATGTAAATATGTAGTACTATAGATTCAAATAGACTGCCAACTTCTGCTCTTTTTTTCCCCCATGGATTCAATGTTTTGACCCTGATCACTCAGAGGTCAGGGATTTTATTTTTAAAGCCAGCTAGATTGTCTTTCACTGCACTTGTTTAAAAGCATACCACACTGGTTGCTTCATATTTGGAATTTGTTTTTGTACAGTAATTTTTTTCTGTAGATTCTAACTATGTTTCTTTTTTTGTTGTTGTTGTTGAGAGAAGACACAGTTTCTTCACTATATCACTAAAACTTTCAGATTTGTGCCCATTTCCCCAATTAAAAATACAGTATCTTATTTGGACGATCTTCTTGCAGCCTTCTGACTTTGTATTTTATCTTGGGTGTTGCCTTCCATGCCTGCTATGAACCATTATCCTGGGGTATCTTTCTCCCCCCCCCCCACTGTTTTGTGTATCTCCAGCCTCACCTTTCTGGTTTTCACCTTTACTTTGTCAGAATATATTTACAAGTAGTTTCATCAGAAAGGAATTGGTGAGGAGGAGGGCTGCATTGGTGGTGGTCACTTTTCTTTGCATATATAAAAGTGATGTTTTTACACATCCTCACATTTGATTATTCTTTGGGCAAATGCTTCCAGGTTCAAAATAATTTCCCTGGAACACATGTGATATTGCTC